ACAGAAACTCAAACAAGAAACGAGTAGTCATGCTAATACATAGAACCAAATGAAGAAATCTAGAAAATTAGGGATTTCAACATAGGCGAGTTGAAAAGGTAGTAAAATCATAGAATTAGTCAAAATATGCAAGACATAGAAGTTTAAACATAAAGAATCAGTTTAAACAAAGTTTTAGAAGAAGTTCTGAAAACCCTAATTTTAGAAGAAGATGAAAACACTTGAAATCACATGGTTCTTGTAAAGAGTTCCAAGGATATTGTAAAACATCAAAGAAACAAACTCAAATCATGTTAAATTTGTACAGATCTAGGAGATGTAGTCAGAAATTAGGGTTTCAGAAGAAACCCAAATAGAGATGAAAGAACCTGTCTAGAATCCCAAGGATCGTAATAAATACAATGCGATTTTGCTCGAAATCACACTGGAGTAGCCAAGAACAGACAAGTGACGAACCCTAGGTGCAAGTCGGTGTGGCCCTGGGCCCTTGAAAGTCTTAGAGGAGGCAAGCATAGCATTAGAGAAGTCATTGGAGGCTTAGGAGTTGATGGGAGATCACGGAGAAGAGAGGTCGACAGTTTGAAGGGCTAGGGTTTGGTTGAGTTGCTGAGAGAGGAGAGGAGATAAGAGAATACATAGGCGGCGGATTTGGAAAATGATTTAGGATTGGGGGTCGTTTAGAGTTAAAAAAGATAAGAACGGATGAGGGTCGTTGATCTCTTAGATCAACGGCCAGGATTTAATAGGTTTTAGGTCGGGTAGGGGTACTTAGGGCCTAGGTCAGGTAATCTGATTAGGAATTGGGCTAGGGTTGGGTATTTGGGCTAAAATTGAAATGCAAATCTGACTACGTGTTAAATAGCCAATTTATCCCTATATAATTTATAATAAATAATAGATAATTTTTGGAAAATAATTTTGTATACTAAAATAATTCAAAATAGATATTTAACAGTTTAAAAATATAGAAGATCAATTTCATGCATATAAATATAATTATACATTAATAATGCTAATATTCCAATTATATGCAATTTAGCTTTTAAAATATAAAATGCAATTATAAAAATGCACTAAAAATATTTTAATTATATTTTGGCATAAATATAGAATTTAAATGACTACATCACCCCAACAATAATTTGATGGATAATTATCGGGGATTTTATGAGTAAAAGGGAAGGAAATAAATTAATTTAAAATCTTTAAAATTATAGAAAAATTATAAAAATCTTATGCATGCTTATATATGCATATATATGCTATTTTGAAAGTATTTATGCATATTAAAAATATATAGGGAAAAATTGAGTATCAACAGCTCCTTCAAAAAACAAAAAGGAAAAATTGACAACATGATAATAAAAATAGACCTTAATTAAGCCTTTGATCGGTTAGAATGGTTCTTTATTCGCTTTTCACTACATCAACTAAATTTTTCACCTACTTTAATCAAACTAATAATGTCATGTGTCTCAACCTCTACCATATCAATCCTAGGTAATGGCAAAAGTACCACTTTCTCCCAACCAACGAGGGGCATCAGGCAGGGAGATCCCTTAAACCCATATCTTTTTATCATTTGCATGGAATCACTCTCCCGGTTGATTGATAATGTTGTTGATTGCTTACAATGGTCCCCTATTAAATTATCACAAAAATCTTCACCCCTTTCATATCTACTGTTTGTCGGCGATCTAATCTTATTTGCCAAAGCAACTGAAAAAAATGTTCATACAATCAACAATATCTTCAACCAATTCCACCTTCTTTAAGGGCAACATATTAACTTTGCAAAATCAAAACTCTTTTTTTCTAACAATGTTCCTACTCATACACAAAACCTACTTTCCACACTATTAAATATCAAGCCCACCACTACCTTTGGGAAATATCTAGCCCTGCCTATCACCAACACAACACAAACTTCTACTGATTATCAATATCTAATAGATCAATTGACTAGGAAACTAACAGGATGGAAATAAAACTTTCTCTCCTTTGCTGGCAGAACAGCCCTAATCAAATATGTTCTAAATATCATCCTCATGTATGCCATGCAAATAAATATTCTCCCAATCAAAACAATAACAATTTAGAACGAATTCAAAGAAACTTTCTATGGGGCTCTTCTCCTGCAAAACGAAAGATTCACCTTATTAATTGTGACAAAATTACTACTCCTAAAGCTTATGGGGGTTAGGAATCCAAAAATTATATCCCAAAAACCTCTCTTTAATAATGACCCTCCTTTGGCGCTATTACCAAAATACTACCTCTCCATGGGTGACTACCCTACATTCTAAATACCAATCTTATCTCACTCAACCTCACCTTCACTTTCCTCATCCTAAAATAACGTCTGTTTCCTACATCTGGAAAAGCATGACCAAAACTTACCCCTACTTCAAACAAGGTCTAGGTTGGAATATCGCCACTGGTACCCACATTCAACTATGGTATGACTATTGGTTACCTACTCACCAAACCTTACACCAACTCATACATGGTCCTCTCAATTACAATGAGAATAACCTTTCACTAAGCTCCATTCTTCCAAATGGCTTGTGGAATCTCCAAACATTATCCTTTCCACTACCACACCATCTACTCTCACTAATTCATCATATTCCACTAAACCCAATAGCCACACGTAGTGACCAATACTTTTGGCACCCCTCACCCACCAGGAATTTCTCCACCTCCACTGCTTTGCCTCCCTAACTCCTCCTCCACCTACACAACACCCTTCAAACCCCATAAATTGGATATGGAAAATACATCCTACCAACAAAACTAAGCACTTTTTTGGCTCATGCTACGTCATAAATTACAAACACTTACATTTCTTTTTAATCGAAATCTTACCAATGATACCACCTGTCCAGTCTGCAAACAAGCGCCTGAAGATATTCTTCATATATTTTTCAACTGCACCACCGTATATGACATATGGAATTGCCTAAACCTCACACTGCCACCACAAATCACTCTCAATTGGATCAAACACATCTGCCTGGCCACCCCCACTACTACTAATACTATTCCTTCTTATATTCTAGTTCCCATTACTTTTTTGGCATATTTAGACCAGTCATAATAATAATATCTTCAATAACACATCTACTAATGTTAATCCCCTTAATGTATACAACCAGACGGCCCAATATTATTACCTCACTTCTTCAGTGAATCCAAAACAAAAGATAACTACTGTTACTACAATAAAATGATAACCCCCACCCCAAGGCTTCTATAAGTTAAATATTGATGGGGCTTTTGATAAACATAATCACATGGGGGAGCTGATGGAGTTTTTCGTAATGCTTCTGGTGCTTGGGTATATGGGTTCACTAAGACACTCAAACACACCGATATTCTTCAAGTTGAACTACTTGCCCTATACCATGGGCTCCAACTAGCACAACATTGCAATTTACGACTATTACAAGTGGAAACGGACTCTCAAGTACTCATTCACATCCTAAATACCCTCCCACTAAAACACTCACAGGTCATTTTTGAATGCAGGTCGATGCTCCAGGATCTCCAGGTGATTCAGCTACACCACACATTTAGGGAAGGCAATACTGTAGCCGATGCACTAGCCAAGTATGGGAAGACAACCAAAAATTTCTGAACTACTAATGTTATCCTTTTTGAAGATCCACCTGCTTTTGCTTTACCGCTACTAGCTAATGATGCAATAGGAACTGTAACTCTATGTTCAGTTCCAAACCTTGTAATGCACTAGTTATGTTTTAATATAAACGCATTCTTAGCAAAAAAAAATTCCATTTCCTTCCAAAATTTGTTGAATTTCCTTATTTTTTTTCTTCTCATTTTAATTCGAATGCAGAATAATGCATATAGTATAATTTATGATCAATTTTATGTGACTTTTTTATTGTTTGTTTTTGAACTGAAAAATAAAGTTTTTCGTTTGTTCATGTAAGTTTGATCGACTAATTTTTATGTATTAAACAAAATAGTAACTTTGCGCGTCTGCTTTATATCTTTACAGCGTAAAATGTGAAGTAATTAAACTGAGCTAGGCACAGAACATTACATTGAATTTTGAAAGTTATGGCAGTGTAGACATTTTGATCTTTAATTATTCTTCTTTATACATGAGGTTAATAGCACTTACTGTTGTATAGCATGTAGCCATGGATTGCATTTAAAATGCATCCATATAAAACAAGAATAACATCTCTTTTTAGGTTGACTATCTGTTTTTCTTAGTAAAGTATACTAATAGAGTAAATATTAGTTTTAATTTTCAAAAGCTTTCATTTATTCTCACATAATTCAGTCTAAGATTCACCAGGTCTCCACTATAATGATTCAAAAATACATTTTAACTTGAACAAAGACATTTTGATTCACTAAACCTCTCCAATCAAATAAAAATGTTTTCCAAAACCCCATTTTGCTTCAAAGACATTTGCTTAATACTCACCTTTTTCTCATTCTTTTTTCTTTCTCTAAATTACCATCGTTCTACCTCCATTTTCCAAAAATTAACCTCATTCTCCTCCGCCATTACAGCCGCCACCAACAAAAACTCTCCGACCACCGTTAACCACCTCGTTTTCTCAATTGCTTCTTCCTCTAAAACCTTTTCCAAACGCAAACAACTCCTCCGTCTATGGTACAAACCTAATTTTACCAAAGCTTATGTATTTTTAGACCACCCGCCATCGGATAATTCTCCGAAAAATATCTATCTTCCACCAATTCTAATTTATGAAAACACCTCTCGTTTCCCATATACCCATCGTACAGGGGCACGTTATGCCCTTGGTCTAACGTGCATGATAAAACAAGTGGTCGCACGTAACGATCCTAACGTGCGATGGTACATTTTTGGAGATGACGATACAGTGTTTTTCGTCGAAAATTTGTTGAAGACACTAGAAAAATATGATCATAATGAATGGTATTATATAGGGTCTAATTCAGAGAGCTATGTTCAAAATGCTTATTTTTCTTTTGATATGGCATTTGGTGGTGGCGGATATGCGATAAGTCGACCTTTGGCTAAGGCTTTAGCTGGTGTTTTGGATTCTTGTTTGATGCGGTACCCAAATCTCTATGGTAGTGATGCTAGAATTTTCTCTTGCTTGGCGGAGCTTGGCGTAAGTTTAACACATGAACCTGGTTTTCACCAAGTAAGTAAAACTTTACTGTTGTCACTCTCTTGTAGTTACTGTTATTAGTTATCAACTTTGCGCTTAGAAGCGGAACTAGAGTATATGAAGCGGATTGGTAGAACGTCCCAATAATTTTGGTTCTAATTCATTTGATATGTGCAAATTATTACAGTAGAATTCAATAACAAAATAATTAAGATAGATATGAAACTCATAAGCTCAATTTCTGGCTCCGTCTCTATTTATATAACCCTGTTATTTCAAAGTCTTTAAAAGTTAAAGAGATAGTGATAATGAAATTCGGTACATCTTGTTTCATTAACAGTATCTCGTGAATAGAGCGGAACGTAAGTGTGAGTGATTCATATAACTAATCCCAACTAATTTAGAATTGAGTTGTTATTATTGTTTCTTCGTCAATATTCATATGAAAGATGACAAATAGTTAAATGCGTTAAATGTTTAGACAAAGTCGATATTAATATGGACATGCTTCAAGATTTGACTTAAGCCACCTCTCCTTTAATTAATAATGATTTGATCTAGGGGAGGAGATGAAATTGGAAAAATACATGTATTGACTCGCACGACTTTAAGAATTGTTTTCTTCATTAATCAAAAGAAAAGGCTAAGATGTCCAGATTAGTGATCGATTACATGACCCTTGATATGAAGATGTGGAGGGTGAGAACTAGAATAGAATGCCAGTAGCCAGACGAGCATTCCTCTTTACCACACTAGTAGCTTAAGTAGTATTCTCTTATTTTCTTACCCTTAAATTTCTATTATTGTATGTTATTTTTTTTTGCTTTTGTTATCTTATTATTTAGCTGTTGATACTGCTTTTTTCATGGTTTTTTGTACTATTGTATTTCTTTCTAAAACTGTTATGACTGTACTTTGTTGTAGCCGGGGTCCATCGGATCTTTACCTTAGGAAGGTAGGAGTGAGGCCGTGTATACACTATATACCCTTTCCAAACCTCACTTCTTGTAAAATTACAATGGGTTGTTGTCATTGTAGATTTAGTTATTAGCTAATTATACGCATTTACGGTAGTGAGACCAAAACCTACATCTATTTTGCTTTATAATCCACTAATTAACATTATTTCTAATATAATCATCCTTTTTTTTTTGGGCAGGATGATTTATGGGGAAATCTATTTGGATTACTTTCATCGCATCCATTATCACCATTAATATCTCTTCATCATGTAGAAAGAATGCAATCAATTTTCCCCAACATGACAAAAATTCAAGCTCTGAAACATTTATTCAAAGCTGCTAATGCTGATCCTACAAGAATATCACAACAAACTATTTGCTACGACCGAAACAATTCACTATCTATTTCAGTGGCTTGGGGTTATGCTATACAAGTTTATGAGGGTAACATTAAGCTTCCTGATCTTATTACAGTGCTAAGGACATTTGAACCATGGGATAAAGACAAGAAACGACCACGTTTTATGTTTAGGACAAGGGTTGAGTCTAATGATCCATGCAAGAAAATGGTCGCCTTCTTAAAAAGTGTGGATTCTTATGGAAATAATGTTTGGACCAATTATGCGAGGTATAGAGTTGGGAAAACTTGTGCAAAAGATGGCAATAAAATCAAGAATTTGGAAGAGATAAGAGTCTTCTCTCGCAAGTTGGATGCAGATACTAGACAGGTACTAATCTACGTAAATTGCATCTTCTTTTTATTTCTTTTTACTAATATGTTCCCCACCATTTTGAATCACTTTGATAGTGAATAATGTAGTTAATTTCTGTCAATTAGAGTCAATTAGGCTTAAGTGACTGGAATTGGTTAAAATCTGCAAGTGGTGAATTCATTTATAAACACGTTTACAGTAGTTGAGTATTTAGATAAAAGTATCGCTTTGATAATAAACGGTCAATATATTTGGTAAATTATTGGTAATAAGATAGCAGATAAAAGGGAGAAGGAAGAGCGGTGAAAACGCAACAGAAAGGGATTGATTTTGGACAAAGCCAAAAATTGTTTATCAGAACTAAAAAAAGGATTTGCTGTACAAGAAATCAATGTAAAAATTTAAACACATACACAGAGCTAACGCAACAGAAATTATAGAAAGAATGTACCTTCAGCCATTGTTGCTCAAGCGTTGTAGGGAATACCTTCAGCAGAAACCTAGAGCGCCTTCTAGCCTGTGCCTATCGTTGGATGCCAAACTGATGTAGTCACAGACGTATTTATAGGTAGGTTAGGGACTCTTAGGCAAATATTTTAGCCCTAGGGACTTCTCTTTAAATTATAATTGCCCGATGGACTCCTAATATATGGTAATTTTTTTCCATCAAAAAAATTACCATATATGTATAACTACAGAATATTATCTGATATATTATTTCCTTTGGGAGACAAGGTAAATAATTTATTACCTTATATGTGGGTCACACTAGAAGTCTCCAGAAGAGGCGGTAAAATTCTAACATTCTCCTACTTGGCCCACATATTAAAATCAGATATATAATCCTTTATGAGAGATATATAATATGGACATAGACTGTATCACTCAACTAAAAGTTATGCGACAACCACTTTAACTAAAACATATCATTATATGAATCATGGTGGTGATGCTCTTAAACAAACAATTCCTTCTATGTATTGCTTTGTACAATATGTTCTAATAAAGTGTCAACAACTTTATGAACTTAATATAAGTCATTAAGAATCCAACTTTGTTGATCCAATGGTCACAAAATAATACATGAAAAACCAAAGTGTGCATTATCATGTATATCGAAATGAACATAATATCTAGACAAACTGTTAGAGAACAAAACAAGGCTAGATTGAGCTACTAAGACCCATATGGGTTACATGATCCTTGGAAATATTAGCCGGCAATCCTTTAGTCATAGGATCAGCAATCATCAAAGTAGTACTAATATGCTCAAAACTCACATCTTGCTTCTTCACATTGTCTCTGACCATCAAGTACTTTATGTCGATGTGCTCTCTTCGGCTGTCACTTTTATTATTCTTAGAAAAGAATACTGTAACTGAATTGTCACAGAAGGTTCTTGATGGCCTTGAAATGGAATCGACAATCCTGAGGCCGAAAATAAAGTCTTTCAACCATAATGCATGTGATATAGTTTCATAGCATGCTATAAATTCAGCTTCCACTGTGGAGGTTGCAATAATGGTCTGCTTGACACTTCTCCAAGACACAGCACCTCCAACAAGAAGGAAAATGTATCCTGAAGTGGATTTACCAGTGTCTTTGCATCCACCCAAATCAGAGTCTGAATATCCACTCACCTCCAATGAGTTAGAGTATTTGTATGTGAGCTTAAAATCCTTGGTTCCTTGCAAATATCTCAAGACCCTTTTACCAGTTTTCCAATGGTCAAGACCAGGGTTACTTTGATATATGCCAAGCATTCCTATCGCAAAAGCAATATCAGGTCTAGTACAGACATGTGCATACATAAAGCACCCAATAAGCGAAGCATAGGGAATGTCTTTTATTTTCTCCTTTTTCAATGCATTTTGTGTACATTGCTTCAAAGAGAATTTGTCAACTTTAATTATGGGTGCTGCTATATGTCACGACCCGGATTTTCCACCCTAGGGAGTCGTGATGGCACCTACTCGTAGAAGCTAGGCAAGCCACTAAACATAGAAAATTTCTAACTCTTTCATTTTTAACCCTTTTTAACAATCTGAATTAACAGGTATCCAACATTTAGATATTAAAGATAAATGAAATCAAGCGGAAGACTTAATCTAATATAATAACCAAGGCCAGTACGATAATGAAAACACACATCTCTACCCGGAATCCGGTGTCACAATATCACGGACGGACTAAGATTACTACAACAAATATCTGAAAGAAATACAATTTGTCTTGAAATATAATGAAAACAGAGTACATAATAATGTAAAAGAGAACGTCGGGCCTGCGGACGCTTGCAGGATTACCTTGGGATCTCTGGCTGGACTGAAGGCAGGCTCCCCAAGTGCTACTATCCAAAAGCTACTCCGGAATCTGCACATAGTGCAGAGTGTAGCATTAGCATAACCGATCCCGTGTGCTGGTAAGTGCATGGCCTAACCTCAGCGAGGTAGTGACGAGGCTAGGACTAGACTCCAGATAAACCTGTGCAGTATTATATAATATACAGCAAAAAATAAACAGGAATAAACAATTAACATGGGAGGGGTACATGCTACGGGGGAAATATCGAATCCAGCAGAAAATTAAGAGAAATATGAGGGAACAATTAGAGATTTACAACAAAACCATAATAACACTATTGCGGCGCGCAATCCGATCCCTATCATTTAACACTGTTGCGGCGTGCAACCCGATCAAATATAACATTGTTGTGGCGTGCAACCCGATCCAACATAACATTGTTGCGGCGTGCAACCCGATCAAATATAACATTGTTGTGGCGTGCAACCCGATCCAACATAACATTGTTGCGGCGTGCAACCCGTACCATACGTAGTATTGTTGCGGAGTGCAACCCGATCCAACATAACATTGTTGCGGCGTGCAACCCGATCCAACATAACATTGTTGCGGCGTGCAACCCGTTCCATATATAGTATTGTTGCGTCGTGCAACCCGATCTAACATAACATTTATATACCTTTAGCAACAACCATACCAAGAGTCCCGAAAAGGGATCAACAATAAGCTACATTATCCTGACAAAGGATTCGACAGTAAAAATAAATACATCCCGGCAAGGGAGAAACAACTATAACTAATCTTAGCCCAACTTCTTCTCACCTCAGCTAACACCAATACTCAATCATAAGTAATTTCCATGAAAACAAACTTAATCCTTGCTCAATGTTGAGAATCATCAATTAAAGCATCCGTAGTACTATTTAAGAAGATAAAATAAATTGCAATTTAAGACTCACGGTCATGCTCGACACCAATGTATAGATACTCACCACCATTCCTATACGTCGTACTCAACAATAATCAAATAGCAAATAGGACACAACTCTTAATCCCTCAAGCTAAGGTTAGACCGAACACTTATCTCGAACTTCCACGGCCAACTCAAGCCTCAAACACCACTTTTCCTTTTGAATTCGGCTCCAAATCAATTGTATCTAGACATAATCGACTTAATAATATCAATAAACGCTAAACAATCCAATTACAAAGCTTAATTATAGCTTTCCCATCATTTTTTCCAAAAAGTCAAAATTCACTCCGGGCCCGCTTGGTCAAAACACGAGGTTCGGACCAAAATTCGATCACCCATTCACTCACGAGCCTGAATATATAATTAGTTCCAAAATTCAAACCCAAAACGAGGTCTAAATCACAATTATACAAAAGCCCTAACTCTACCCAAATCCCTAATTTTCTACCCTTAAAAACATGATTTTAAGCCTAGAAATCTAATGGGTGTTAATAAAAATTGAAGAAAATGATTCTAAGATTACATACCAATGCATTGGTGGTGAAATCCTCTTTCAAAAATCACCCAATTTGGAGTTTGGAAGAAAAAGTTATGAAATTTTGATTAAATCCCGATTTGGCTTCTGTTTTAAAATCACTGGATAGGCCTTCATCGTGTTCGCGATAGGCCTGTCGCATTCGCGAAGAGTTGGGCCTAAGTGACCTTCGTGTTCGCGACATTAGGCTCGCTTTCGTGGATCTTTGACTCCTCGAGCCTTTGCGTTCACGTAGCACAAAATTCCCTTCCCCCTCCCCAAGCCCAAAAGCCTTCACGTTCGCGATAGCAGGTCCACGTTCGCGAAGGGAAACACCCCTAAGGCTTCGCGTTCGCATCCTGTGTCTCTCGTTCGCGTAGAAGGAGCTTCATCATGACTAACCCTTCGCGTTCATGAGAGTCCTTCCGCGAACACCAAGAAGAACATACCAGCACACCAGAAAACTGAAAACCTACACTCTTTTCCAAGTTCAAAACCTTCTGAAACCCATCCGAAACTCACCCGAGCCCTCGGGGCTCCAAACCAAACATGTACACTATCTCAAAAACATCATATAAACTTATCTGTGTGATCAAATCGCCAAATTAACCTCTTAAACAACGAATTTAACATAGAAATCTAAGAAAATCTTCAAAATTTTCAAAGTAGGAATTTTCACAACTACGAGTCCGAATCACCTCAAACAACTTCCGTTTCTTACCAAATTTCACAGACTCATCTTATTTCACATATAAGTCCTGTACCGGGATCCGGAACAATAATACGGATCTGATACTATCAAATTCCAAATGCATTTCATTTCTAAAACCCATAGAAATTTCTAGAAAATAATTTTCTTTAAAAATTCACTTCTCGGGCTTGGGACATCGGAATTCGATTCCGGGCATACGCCCAAGTCCCATATTTTCATACGGACCCTCCGGGACCGTCATATCATGGGTATGGGTCCGTTTACCCAACATGTTGACCGAAGTCAAATTACTTCATTTTATTGTCAAAATTTATCATTTTTCATAGATTTTCACATATAAGCTCTCAAGTTACGCGCCCGTACTGCCCACGAAAATTGAGGTGATGCTAAAAGAGGTTTATAAGGCCTCGGAATGTAGAATTCAATTTAAAAACAAGTGATGACCTTTTGGGTCATCACACTATAGGTGAACAGTCTTTCATCCCGAAGCTTTCCAGAATTCTTTCGATGTAGGTATTTTGAGACAGTCCAAGTAATCTTTGGGATCTATCTCTGTGAATCTCTATGTCAATGACATAAGAGGTTTCACCCATATCCTTCATCTCAAAATTCTAAATAAGGAACTGTTAGTCTCGTGCAACAATCCCAAATCACTACTTGCAAGCAACATGTCATCCACATATAGGACTAGAAAAATATATTT